TTAAATGCTGTAAGTTAGGTGCATTAACTTTCTATTTATTTTCAGTTTTCAAATGCTTAAGTTTTCATCTTACTTTTTCTGTAAAAATTTATGTTCATTCAAAAATATTAAATATGAAAGTAAAAATATCCCTCTTTCTTTCTTGTTCTTCCAAATCATTATGCGAAAATGCATTTACAGCTTTTAAAACCTGAAAAACGCATGTGTGCGATGTTATCATGTGATGATTTGTATGTGATTTATTTTTTACCGCAATATTTTCGACAATGAAGTTTTTAAACCGCTTTATTTTCAATGATGATATTTTGTACCCCAATGTTTTAGAACTGTCATGTTTTCTCTTTGCTTTTTTTCTCCCGCGAAGTTTTGTAAAACAGCATTTTCGCCTTGTGTTGTTTTCTCCACGAAGTTTTCATCTGCGATGCTTTCAGCGGACACCAAGCTCAGTGATGTAGAGGTTCAAATAAGCTAACTGTAGTGAATACAAAGCACCATCTAATAATTCATAAAAATTCTAAATGAACATATATATGACACATCCATCTGGAAGATCAATGCAAGTGGCGATGGCTGCTAGTGACATTTGGGACTCATGCATACATGATACACCTGCCTCCAAAGGGTTATTTCTTAGCACAATGTAAAATTTTAATTTTTCAGTTCCCCCCCCCTCTAGGTTATAAATGGATACTGTCATTGGGCTCCAGCTAGATTATTTAGTTGCCCTCACTCTTATTTTATGCTTAACATGTAATTGCCTCAGGTGCAATTAAGATGAACAATTAATTCAAAAATTTAGCTCGTAGTTCAGCAGCATGCTATCGCAAAGGGGGTTAATGGGAGAGATGGCAGCATGAAAAATTTTCTGAGAAACTGTTCCATATTCTTGCTACATGCAGGAAGCCTTAGAAATTGACCATGCACCTGAGAGATGGCAGCATGAAAAATTTTCTGAGAAACTGTTCCATATTCTTGCTACATGCAGGAAGCCTTAGAAATTGACCATGCACCTGAGAGATGGCAGCATGAAAAATTTTCTGAGAAACTGTTCCATATTCTTGCTACATGCAGGAAGCCTTAGAAATTGACAATGCACCTGGCCCATTCTCCTGGAATTGAACCTGAATCAAACTTCCAATTTTCAGCAATTTTAACCACTCGACCGCTGGTGGGGCAGATAAATGGTAAAAAATTATATATTTAGGAGAAACGTCATGAATTGGGGCACATTTTATGCTTTGGTGATAACTGATGAAAATATATTTGAGTATTTTCATTCTCAAACTTGTAACTTCTTTATAAATAAATCAAGTAACTTTTCAAAAAAGGAATTGTTCAGCTACCTGAGAGATGACAAAAAGTTATAGAATAAAATGATGCTATTATAATTCAGTGAAATTTTGTTTTATTTTTGTACTATGTTATCTGTATTATTCAATTTGTATTTACCATTTAAAAAAATTCAGAACAAGAGAATTTTCATATTTAATGTACGATCTCCAGAACTACTGGACAGATTTTAATAAAATTTGGTATGAACATTGGTTGATATAATACAAAAAAAAATAAGCATTCAACAGTTATAATAGACACACATGTTCGTGTGTTTCACTCATGGGAGTCTGAAGGTCTGAAACAGCCATTACAGGAGACACAAAAGAAATGATTTAATAGGGGTTATGGTTGCTCTTACAGCCATACAGGTCTCGCAGCATGATGTCATACTGGAAATAAGGCAGTTTATCAGTGCCTGTAGTTGGTCCCACTTATTCAGCAATGCTGTTTTCAGTTCCTGGATGGTTCTCGAAGGGGGGTTGCGAGTTCCAGTTGCCCTCCACAGAGCGTCTCAGACATGCTCTATAGAGTTGAGGTCTGGAGACCTGGCTGGCCAATCCATCTGCGAATATCCTCACTCTCGAAAAATTCATTGACCAGAAGAGCTCTATGTGGCCTCGCGTTATCGTCCCGTAGGGCCCACTGCACCCCGGAAAAGGTGAACATAGGGCTCCAAGACCTCATCTCTATACATGACACTAGTCACAGAGCCTCTGTCAAAGACATGGAGAGGTGTGCGTCCATCCAGCATGATGCCTGCCCAGAGCATTATACCAGCACCGCCATAATTGTTGATTTCGCGGACATTGGAGGGTAGGTAGCAGCTCCCTGGCTCTCTCCATATGAAAGTACGGCGAGAATCGGTCTTTAGGGTAAAACAGGTTTCGTCGGTGAACAAGTACGGTCGCCCATTGCTCCATACTCCAATCACTATGTTGCCTGCACCATGCTAATCGGACTCTTCTGTCTGTAGACTTGAGTGGGATGCAAACAGCCGGTTTTCTGGCAAACAACCCTCTCTCATTCAGTCTTTTGGAAAAAAGTTGCCCTTGTTACATGGGTTCCTGTGGCTGCATACAGGTCCCAAGAGAGCTGAGAAGCTGTAGCCTCTCTGTTACGCCTTGCTAAAATGGACAAATAGCGATCTTCTCTGGCCGTCATGTCTCTTGGATGACCTTGCCCAGGCTTTCTCTCAATGGATCCAGTATCCTGGAACTTTTTCCATAGGTTACACACGATGCTGCGCATTAAATAAAAATCTTTGCATATCTGGACTTGCGATTGGCCTGCCTCTAGCCTCCCCACAATTCGCTACCTCATTCCATCATCTAAACATTGGTAGTTACTCATTTTTACTGTTCCGATTGCTGCAAGATAACACCAAGGTGTGCTAGCGAACGCAATTTGTCTTACCCTCCACTTGCTTATAAAGCCTGTTTTTCTGCTAGCTCCGCCTACACATACGCGTGCGCTTATGTATTTGCCGTGCAAGATTTGCATTTTTATCTAGAAGCAGTGGTTTTTCATTCGGTTCAGTTCTGTTCATGCAATTCGATAAAATTCTCTTAATTTATTTCACCAAGTGTAATTAGTCATATGGATAAAATACACTGTCATATTGAATTTTGAAAGAAACTCAGATATAAAGATAAGCCAGCCTTAAATTAAATAAATATATAGCATAAAGTAGGCCTCGAAGCAGAAAAATCACCTTTAGTATATACTAAAAATAAGAATAACTTGCACTAAATTCATTAATAAATAATGAATATTCCCTCCTATAATGTGAACGGCATGCAGTTCACAGACTTTTTTGCATTGTGGTAGAGGAACACGAGAAGTCTGCTTCTCCTCTTCCTTTCCTGTCCTTCTCGTCAACTGATATTTCTCCATTCAATGCCCTCTTAAGTGGGGGATAGGCAAAAAAAAGAAAGGGGGAAAAAAGGATTATGTGGCAGTGTGCAACATGTTTCACTTTAAATTGCTGCCGTATCAGACGAAAATTTTTTCTTTGGAAATAGGTCTGAAAAACAGGGTGTGTCTTGTACGTCGATACTCAGTTTATTCAGAGTTATGCGATTTTTTTACCTTGTTTCCTTGTGGAGTATAGGAATATTACAGTTACATAGAGTTCACTGAATGCACATACGTTGTTATCGATGATCATAGCTGGGTTTGTTTAACTTTCCATTTTTTTGTGAATGTTTTTTAAGTGTGTGAAATTTCTACTGTTCAATTTTCATAAATTTTTTGAAAATTATGGCTCAAAAACAAATCGGCATTGCAATAACATAGCATACAAGTTACATGTAATTGTGTATGCTAAAGAATATGGAAACAAGACTGCAGATAAGCATTTCGGGCCACCCCCAACTGAGAAAATGATAAGAACTTGGCAGAATCAGGTAGTAATGCACTGAATGGTACAGAAAACAATTTGTTGTATGAGGACTCAGATGCTAATTCAGAAGAGGTTTCAAGTGACTCTTCATTCAGATCTGGAGATGAGTGTCTGGGTTTTGACGAATAAGATTAAAGGGTTCTTTCTGTAGATAGATTGGATATTTGCAGAAAGTATTACTTTGTATTTGTATTACTTTATATTTAAAATACTGCAAATTCATTATAATGATCAAAGTTTTATCCTTCAAAACTTCAATCCTTGAAGGATTTTACTTTTATCCTTCAAAACTGTGCATAAAAAAGAGAATGCATCTTATACGCTGCCAAATATGGTAAATGCAGTTAATAAGGACAATATTGTATACACAAGCTAAAAACAATAGTTCTTTTATTCTACTTTTAACATTATAGGCATGCGGCACATGCAGAGATATGATATACCTGTTTGAGCTAATTAATCAGACTCATGTCATGTGCATTCATATCCAAAAACATTTATTTTATTCCCTTTATTTTTTGCACATTGCAGTAGACACATTTGAATATTTTTTAGATGCTTATGTAATTTATTACAGATTAAATGCAATTGCAGTATGATTATAGAGAGTCATTCAGAATTTTGGAAATGTGTTATTTATGTGCACTTTATAATTACTGAATATCATAAATCCATGCATACATATGTGAATAGTTAGTAAAAATTTCTGCATGTGTGAATAAATATTGCTACCGCATATGTCTTAATATTTATGGGAAGATAATTGTTTTAAATGATTTTTTTCAATTGTAGATTTTGATATTGCTTAATTTTTATTACATTCTGCTCTAGATTGCTGTAGCTTTTAAAAATATGGTATTACATCACCTATTACATACATGTTTGAAACATTAGTAAATTTGAGCTAATTTATTTTTAAGATCATCATTAACGTTTGAAATTGATCCTCATTATTTTACAAAAGTGTAAATATCGATGATTTATAAAAATTAATTTATATAATTAATATAATTTTTGTTACTTGTGTTTTCAGATATTATGTAGGTGTAAAATTCTCATACTGGAATAACTTCATCGAGCAACTAATTTCTAAAAATATATACTAATTAAAAATGCCTTGCCCTATTCTGTGATGAATCTTATTCATTATTTGTTGAATCTTTTCTTATTTCTGTAATAGATTTTTCAGATTTTATATTTTGTTATTTAAATTTACATTTCTTGAATCTTAATTTAGTAATAATTTCTCTCTAATGTCTTTTAGCTAAAGCATTTGACAGGATCAACTGCTGATACATATTTAGAATATATTCAAAGAAATCTGCCAGAGGGTGTGTCTATGAAAGTTACTAAAGTACGAGTTATATTACATAATTCTGATATAATTATTGTATATATGCTGTTATTAAATTTTGGGGCTAATATGTGAACAACATAAGTTTTGAAAACTTCTATTTAAATTTATTTGCTCCAGTTTTCATTCATGAATGTATCATTTCTCTAAATTTTAGTTTCACATTCCATAATTTTACATTAGTGCACTAGTGACTAATAAGATCAAACTTCTATCACTTTTATTTTGGATTCAGTTTCCATATGGATGTTAATATGTAAATATTTACTGTAGTTTTCCTTGGACAGTTTCATTTTTAGCATTATTATTATTTTGTGTCATTTTTTTAAATGATGCAGGAAAACTTCATGCGTATAATTACATCAGACTATTATAGAACTTGTCAAACAGTGTTTCACATTGTCTGTATTTACCTCGAGGTTACTAAGCTGATGACTTTTCATTTCTCACCTTAACTGATAAATGCATGTGTGTAAATAATTCGAGCCCAGCTCATAAGCAAGTGAATTTACAAGTAAAAAAAGAAAAAGAAAAAAAAAAAAAAATGCTTAATTGAAAATAATGAGTATGAGCTCTTGGGTTTGTCAGAACTGTTATTTCTTTCTGTTGAATGCAAGAAAGTAATTAAAAATGTAAGTACATAATTCGAAATATGAAATGATGCAAATTAAGAAAAACTTACCATTTATTATTTTGAAATATATTTAATTGCTGAATGGGCATTTTCATGATAGCCTTTGTTTGCTTTGCCATGCCAAACTAACAACTGGTTGCTAACTTTATCTTTAATGGGAAAGAATGCTGATATTTATTAAAAAAGGATATTTTATTCTAATTTAACTAACAAATTAAATAAAATGTGCTTCTACTGTAAAAAAGTTCAAATTGGTTATGGAATTGTCTTTAAAAATTTACTGCAGTCATATTTCATTTGAATGGTTTTAGTTATCAGATGTTCTCTAATTACTTTGAAGATTTTCTGCAGCTAATTTCCACAAATATCTTTTGAGATTTCAGATTTTAAAAGAAGAAATTAAATTTCTGAAGTTGTTTTAATTATTTCATCATAATGACTACAAAACAAATAAATAAGTAAAGTAATAATTTGTAAAATATTTGCTGAAAGAAATTCTATTATAATGTTTTATAAGATAAATTCAGTAATTAAGAAATGAAGTATTTAACATAAACCAAAATAAAAAAGAAAGTAACTGCTTTTAATATATTAAGCATAAATTTTTAGAGCTGTGCTCTTTCATTCCTTATCTTTGAATTGTTTTTGTGAATTAAGACTTATCACATTTATTCATATTAACACTAATACTTGGAAAAATCAAGCTATATTTAGCAGAAATTTTAAATTAATTGTCTCATAATATTTTGAACAATAGATGATGAGTTTTAAGAAGGAAGAGTGTATTAATATTCATTGAAGATTTTCATTTAAAACCTACAGTAAATAAAGTTTGATTTTGTTTACCGCTATTAATATTCCGATTAGACTACTTCTCTTGTATCCGTTTTAATTCTAAAAATATTTATATTGAATTAAAAAAAATAATTTTTAATGACTGAAAATTTTAAGTTTTTAATAAAAAGTTTTGAAATGTTATATTTTTATAAGTATTTTTGCCAGTAGATTTTGTGCATTTTGATATAATTTTATGACTTATTTTTATTGCAGCATCGCATAGAAAAACTTCCTGAACATATTGCAAATTATGTTCCAGAAAAGAAGCCTTCTAGTGTTAATAAATAATAGTTTGTTTTGTGAGTCATTATAATAGCATGTATTAAACTTTTTTAATAAACATATGTTTGTGTTTTCTTGTGTACAGCATATTTTATAAACATAATAAAATAATTGCTAGTATACTGGAACAAAAATAAATATCACCATGCAAGAAGTTTTAATGGACATAATTGGAAAATAACTGATGTTAGAATTATTATTATATTAGTAATATCCTAAATTATTTTTCCATGCTTGATAAGTTACTTAAGAGGCACAATAATTCTCATAATTTTCCTTTTATATTTTATCAAGCATAAAGTGAAGCTAAGTAGATGATTTGAACATTTGAAAGTGAAAGATGGTAGAGAATGTATTTTATTGTATTTTGAATTTAATTATCACAAATTTTTCCCCTTGTTCATGAATCGATATCAGATGAATGAAAATTTATTTAGCAACGATAAGCAAAAAATGAGTTCACTTTAAACAAATACTAAGAAAACTGCAGAATTTCAGGTGCAAAATTTTTCTTTTACGATGCTGCATTTTATGTTTTTGTTTTTTTTCAAGAAATTTATAATACTTTCACCAGCATTTAGAATGTATTTATGTAGCACTTTATAATAAAAAAAATTAACTGTAGGTAATAATAATTCCAGTTTTTGGATCTATCATCAAATTTATGCTGAGAAAAATACATCCTGATAAAACTAGTGTCTAAGAATGAATACTATCAAATTGTAAAAAAGCCATGGAACGATAGATTCTTATAATATAAGAGAGTTCGTGAGAAGCAGCTTTGTTATAATGGTCTTGATCTTTATATTTAACAACTTAGTTTTGATACAGGATTATAGTTAAGAATCAATGGTTTCAGAAAAAAAATGTGAGTATTAGGCATCTCAGCTGGTGAAAGTAATGTTTTTTAGCCATGTCTCTTGTACTAAATGACCTCTTGTCCAAAAAAATCATGATAGATAATATAATAACCATCTGGAATTAGACTAGAATTCTTTCGTATGTCCTGTTCATCTTTCCATGTTACTAAAAATCTGTCATTTTATGTTGCTCAGTCACCTAAGTTTATCGTTTTATACAGCATCAGTCCTAATTTTCCAATTTATGCAGCATAGCAAGGATGACTCCAGAGCTGGAACAGCAGTATTTAGGGATGATAAAATTTTTAGAATTAGGAAATGAGGCACTAGGAAGTAGAATTTAGGGTCAGCAAATTCTTTTGTATTTTTAAAGGTGCAAGGCAGTAGAATAAAGGATAGGCAGAGATTGCATCCGGCGGCAAAAATACCTGCACCTTTTCCCTGCAGAATAGTCACAATTAAAATGATCAGTACCTACAAAGGATTAGTGATGGCTGTAAATAGACATAGGATTTAAAATTTAAAAGATTACCTTGTGGCATATGTTCAGACCCAGAAATTTGTCAAAGAAAATTAAGCCAAATAATAGAAGGTCTAGAAGGCGTTGAATGTATTATTGATGATATCTTAATATGGGGATCTAATGAAAAGAAACATGAACTGCGACTTAATAAAGTACTCAAGAGAGCACGAAAAAATAATCTGAAGTTCAATAAGGCTAACTGTAAAATAAAAGTTAATCTTGTGAATTATATAGGGCATGAGTTAAGTGAAAATGGATTAAAACCTGATTTTTTTAAAGTAGAAGCAATTATTAAAATGCCATAACCTAACAGATGTGCCTTCGCTACAAAGATTTTTGGGAATAATTAACTATTTAGCCAAATTTATTCCTAACTTAACTAGTATTACTGCACCATTAAGACAGTTACTTGAGAAAAATGTTCTCTGGCACTGGACTGAAAACATCAAAGAGCTTTTGAAACATTTAAAAATCTGGTTGTAAATGCTCCCGTATTAAAATTCTATGATGTTAATAAGGATATAACTCTTTCAGTAGATGCAAGTTCTGAAGGATTAGATGCTGTTTTACTGCAAGGAAATTAACCAATTGCTTATGCTTCCAGAGCTCTAATGAAAAGTCAGAAAAATTATGCTCAGATAGAAAAAGAGCTTTTACCTATTACTTTTGGATGTTCGCTCATATAGAAAAAGAGCTTTTAGCTGTTACTTTTGGATATTCTAAATTTCATCAATATATGGCAAGCGTATTACAGTTGAAACTGTTTATCGACCATTAGAAAGCATAACTAAGAAACCTCTTTTTAAAGCACCACAGCGATTTCAAAGAATGCTGTTAAACTTACAAAAATATAATCTAGATGTATGATACAAAAAGGGGAAAGACTTATTAATAGCAGACACTTTAAGTAGAGCATATTTGAATACAACAGAAGATGATAATGATGAAAGTACAGAAATTTGCATGCTGGTTTCCAGTGATTAACATGTGATTTCAAATAATGTTTAAAAGGTATGTTTAAATTTTCTGTTTACAACTTCATTGCCAAGAAGAAGTTAGAAGCACGTATTTTGCTGTTGGAGCCGAAGTATTTTCAAGAGAATCAAATTTTTCTACTTTAATTAATTTGCTATTTATAAAATTTGATACATCATATTTTTCATCTTGGAGAAAGTATTTTAAGTTAAAGGTTACACAGAAGTAAAAGGAACTAGAAGGAAAGAAAACACACAAAGGAACTAGAAAAGCGGAAGGTATTTGTTGAAGACGATTTCACTTCCAGCTTGATATTTAAACAGCATTCTCGAAATATCGCTGATTATCTCTCAGTATGCAACATTTCTTTGCTTGCATTTGACTTTTTAATTCAGTTTTATGATAATTTTAAGTAATTTAGGAGAGAGTGCTGCTTCTTCTTACACATTTTGAAATTAGTAGATCGACCCAGATTACCGGACTGTGTCACTTTGTTTAGTAGGGATGTATTAAACTCTCGGAAATTCAGAAAAATTCCCGAAACATCGGTGACCGAAGTCCGCTATGTCATCTGAAACGATGAGTTAAAAACGAATGAAACATTAATCGTAAATGCAAAATTCATGCAACTAAAATTAATACACTCATTGAAAAAACAAAAGAATTTAATGACACTAAAATATAAAAATAAATAAATTAGTAAGTGTATAAATTCTAAAGATAAACTCATTACCTTAACCCCGTTTTACTTAGCTAGTCGCATATTCATAACTGATCGATTAATTCTTTATTTCATAGCATATATAAAAGAGGGGAATTTTCCTGTCACGTCACCGCGACATTTTCGTAACTATGCTGGAAAGTGTATGCAATGGGCTACAATTCACTTAAATCTTCATATGGGTATCCTGTCATCTTGACGTAGCTGGCAGTTTTTCTGGTATAAAAAGAGCTTTATAAAGGTGTCGTCCACACCCTTATGGACACCTTGTCTTGGTGGAGAATAACCGCCAACTTGCACAAAAATGCTTTAAATGGCTGTTTCGAAATATTTTCAATGGCTATTTTGAAAAATGAGATCTCAGGAAGGGCTTGAAGCACAACTGAGTGGTTAGCAGCAAGACCCTAACTGACTCTCTCTTAAGCTCCATTCAGACGGTGGTAGAAATGTCATAGAGGCATAATCATAAGATATAAAATGCGGGAGTTCCATTCACACCTGTGGCACAAGGTCTAAGCTGAACCCAATCGAAGAGGCTACATTTGTGCATGCGTGGATGTGTCTACACCTTTCCCACTCTGTTTTTTCCGCTCAGTAGGTTTCGCGTTTTCGCTTGTATTGGTCAAGTCGGCATAAGGTTGAAAACTTCGAACTTTATGCCAAAACATCTAAACTAGTTTGTGACGTAGCAAGGTCTGGTTAACCTAGCAACGTAGCTTAAACCAGTTATGATATCTATATCACCGTCTGAATGAAGTCTTAGCCTCTAAAACACTTTAAATTTGAATCCTTTAATTTGACAGACGTTGGGTATTTTTTTAAAGCAGGCAAGATGAAAAATGAGCAAACGCTTTCGCCGGGAATTGAACCACGGACCTCTGGAATACCGGCTCAGCGTGCAGAACCACTACATCATGAAGGTACGCTAGGAAGGTTATATACTCCCTCTTTTAAAGGGCGACTGGAGTTTTTAGGGGACCCAATCGCCGAATCCTGGGTGTGGAAATTCATCATCCATAACCCTTTTAGTTCAGGTACCATTGTAGAGACATTAGGTGTTTTTTGGAAGCAGGCAAGATGAAAAATGAGCAAACGCCTTCGCCAGGAATCGAACCACGGATCTCTGGAATACCGGCCCAGCGTTCAGAACCACTACACCACGAAGGTACGGTAAGAAGGCGGGAGAAATACCTTATAAATTGAAACACCCCGTCACTTCCTAGAGCGCTCGTTTAACAAATGCGAATAGTATCTTCTTTGCTCATAGTAAATTTGCCCTCTGTATTTCAAAAAAGAAGTTGGACATCAAAATCTAGCTATGTCTACTTTCTTTCTAAACTCCGCCTACAAACAGTCCAGCACTGTGGATCGCGTTTTGAAAATGTAGTGAAATGCAGTCGTGAATAGTTGATTCTGTGTATAGAGGGGACATTCCAATCGATAATCAACTGCGTCCTTCTCAACGAGACTCTGGAGTGGTGCCCTTTTAATCTTTCTTTTTTTTTTTGTTCGCCTCTTCTTGTTCCGGGAAGTAAACGTGAGAAAAAACAATTACAAACAGTTATAACTATTCCGTATGTCCACCGCTTCTTGTTCCGAGAAGTAAAGATGAAGAAAAACAATTAGAAACGGTTACAAATATTCCGTATGTAACCTCTTATCAAGAGCACACTGAGTGCTATGGAATGACTCCTATCAGCTGGGCTTATTCTGTGATTCTCTCCTGGTATTTTTATACAATAATTTTTAATCGTATTTATTGAGATATTGTTACGAATATTATGTATGAATTTATAATGTATTGCGGGGCGCATAATTAACGTTAAGATTTAAATAGTAAATAACTCTTTCTTGCATTTTTTCCTTCCTTTCTTTATTAAAACTGCATAGCCAACCCTTGGAGATTTTATTGGAGAAAGGCTCTCCACTAGGCAGAGGATGAAAATTATTTAATTTTACTTTAAAAATGAATATATTGTAATTTGCAGGCAACAA